TTATTTCTATTCTTTATTCTAGTTTTATATACCTCTTTTAATTTTATTTTTTACTTTATCTGTACTTATTTCTGTTCTTGTGCTGCTGCAACAAACAATTTCCCCTTTGGGTATCAACAAAGGCTTATCTTATTTTAAATTCATCACAAGAAACATGAATGCTAATGTTGCTCCATACTGTATCTGCTGGATGTGTAAATAGGCAGCTGTTTATCTAGTTCATCCATATCAACGTGAAATCAGTTCTTGCATGTTTTAACTAGGCTTATATAAAACAACAATTGATTCTGCAACTGCACAGTCTGAGTCATGATGATTCACCACCATGTTTAAAAATCAGACCAAAAGACCACTGACAGCCCAGTGAGTCGTGCACTGGTCCTGTCAGGTGCACGACACGCTCATCATAACATCTCACTGAAGGAGAGCAGCTGCCATTTGTACAACCTACATGACATGCCACCTGCCTCAAGCAAATACCAGCTAAACCTTGACAGACCACAATGAGCAAGAGTGAAAATGTAAGCTGGTGCTTTGATGAGACTGAAAAATAGTCAGGCCATTAAAAGCACATTCAGAAATCAGCATTTGTTGTTGATTAAATCTAATGTCAATGCTCACCAAAAACGTGTGTGTGCAAATGTGTGTGTTTCTGTCGACAAGCACAGCTCAGTCAGGTAACCATGTTGGGTTGGCAACTGTAGAGGTGGTTACCATCTTGTACCTGTATGGACCAGAGACAGCGAACAGCAGGTACAGATGGTCAGTGGGAGTACATGGCACACTGCTGCAGATACACACAAATGCATGCATGCACACAAACCATAGGGCCAGATTCAAATGTCAGGCTCCAGACAATAATTCTCCTCGATTAATTCTCAAATCAGCTCTATAAGTACACTATGCACACAGATTCTTGCAGCTAGAGGTAATAAACATGTAAATCATGGTGTGTCCACCTTGCATATCATATTGTGACAGGCTAATATGTGTGCTTGTGTCTTTATATGCCCTGGATAGTGCAATATGTTGAATTTACTGGTCTAAAACAAGACATATGCATACTAATAAATGGCAAAGACTGCTGAGTCACAAAAAATATAGCGTAATAACTGGTGCTTTACAGTTGCATGAATGTTAAAAGAGAATCATAATGATCTGACTCCTCCAAATTCTGAGCTTTTACACACAGGCTGTCTCCTCCCACCCACAGTCATCTTCTTCATCTCACTCAAGTCAAGTGAATTTTTAAGTCAGCATCAAAGGGGATGGCACTTTTACGCCACACACACTGTGCCAAGAAATCATGTAAATGGGGGGAGGCGGCATTGCATCCAGCCTTCTTGCACTGATGGGTGTGAAAATTGAAGAAGAGAAACAGACCTCTGTAGCCAGCCCCTGATCTCTGCTTGAAGCTAGAGGCTCTAGGCTACATTATATGCTATACTTTAGGAGTACAATGCTAAATTGGGGGAGTACTCATTTAAGGGCTTTCCAAAGGCATAATTTATTTATCAATAAAAAGCCCTAATCTCCTTACTGTGTCCCCCAAACTCTGAGACTAAACCTGCAACTTCGGTTATTTGGTTAAAAAAATCTTTTAACTTGTCAGAGGCAAAATCTCTGAATAGCCTCAGTAGAAAAGCTGAAGACTGTCTTCCTTAATTACCATAATTATTAATTATTTCCTCCTGTGACCATTAAACCGCTTAATCAAAGCGTGACCCGGTGAATTCACTGAATGAATTACTCAGGGATGACATTTGATGATCTAATTTGACATGGTTGTTTTGCAATGTGAGCTGCCATTTGATTTTGTTGGATTATTTACCCTGGATAAGATGTTAATGAGGTCTCCCGTTGTCTGATCTCAGGCAGCTTTAATCTGCTTTAATTTGATCTCTGCGACTGAATATGAAAAACTTTTGGCAGAAGTTACAATTATAATTAAGTGCAGTAATAAAACAGGAATCTGTATATTGGATATTTATTTATAGTACAGACTTACTTATTAAGGTTGAGGACAGGAGAATATCAGAGTGAACCAATACATACTGTGATATTAAATCATATATATCAGTCTGTATGTATGTGATTCAAGAAAAGGAAGAGAAAGTTTAGATCTATGGAAATTTGTTCTCAGTATTCACTTATGCTTACTTGTTTACTTCCTCAATCTGTAATGCAGACAGTTTTGTATTCTGACCTTTGACAGAGTATCATCTCCTCTTTACAGGGTAGCAGGCAGTCTCATATTTATGAGCTTCAGAACACCAAATGGCAGATTTAAAGGTGCCCAAGCAGAGAAAAATTTAATTCATCTAAATATGAAACGACCTCATACCTCACACCCTGTCTGACATCAATGCAGGCAAGTCTATTTTTTTCTGCCCTTCACTTTCCCCACACCCTTGCTCTGTCACCCTGTTTATAACATTGTCAGTTTACACTATTTTACTTTTTTATTGTAAGACAATGAATGGGAAAAAGCCAGGAAACGAAAGGTGGTGTAGCCCTCCCCAATACGTATATTCAATACGTAGTAACTGAGATAGAAAACATACTACAGATGAAAACATTACAATCAGCAATGGGAGCACAATGGCATGATGCATCAATATGCAATGCAGTGGCTACGAAAAGTTTATATGTCCATCCATGGGTGTTCTTGATATTGGGCCAAAGCTATATTTTACTGGAGTGACCTCTTGAAGTAATGATCATAAAAATACATTTAAATTTAAATGTTTCTGAAGCAGGAATGTTAACATGGTTTAGACAGAAAAAAGGCAAATATATCTGTATTGTCTGGTGTCAGTGACTAATATGAACATAAAATTAGCAATCCCTGAATCTATGAGCAAAACAAAGCTGTCCATTATCCCACAAGGACACATGAACACACTCAGATACATATTAAACCACATTCATGCCTGCAAAAATAAACTTACACACGCATGGACTGTTAGTTGTGCATAACAATAAAACTGAGCCGGCTGTTTGTGTTAATGTGGCCTTTAGGACCAAAACGTTTCATTTCCAAACACGTCAGATAAATACATCATTCGGTATTTTATTTTTAAAAAATGAATATTTCATCTTTATACAGCATTACTTCTTTTTCAAAAGATCTTAAAATGACTTATGTAACTGAAGTGTTCTTTTGCTTTCAAACTACTAATCACATTGTAGGAGAAGATGTCAGACGTTTCAAATGGTGCAGAAGAGAGTCTGTATCCTTGGACTATAGATAGAAAGTCTTCTCATTAGAAGCAAAATAAAGAATGCTTGACAGGAATAGAATTTATGTTTTTCTGTGAACACGACTGGAAATTTATCTTGAAGGACATTGCACTCTGAAATACTGGGTGACAACAGAAACTACTGAACCACAGCCTGATTGCACAGCAGCAAAACTATCTTACAATAACAACATTATGATCGTATTGCCTAACACTACGTATTTTAATGTTTGACTAACATGTGGTGGGTGTATTCTACTCTGTTACTGATGCTTTTATTTGGAATATTTGATTTTATTTGGAAGACAGCTAAATGTGCCTAAAAACCTACATGCATAACATCTTACATCACAGTGGACAGCTTGCAACATACCTGCACACTTTCAATTAAATCAGGATTATTTTTGACAGACATTAACCATTTATTGCATCAATAGTGTACGTGTTCTGTGGTTTGGCATGGCTCCAGAAAAAACTAATTTGCACATAAATTACAGATTTGTCTTTGCACTGGCAACAGAGCCTGGGATTCACAACAATGAAAAGAGCTTGAATTCATACTGAAATAACAAACATGCTGAAGAGCTGGTTCTAAAGGTTGTTTGAAACATCTTTATTTTAGTGACCCTTTCTCCAGGGGGCCATAAATTCTTTCCATTTATAATTCAACATAGCCTGTGACCCAGATTAAACACACTTTATTTGTTGTGCACATTTGTGCCCCCAACAAGAACTAACCAAATGGAAAGTTTTGAGCTGAGCCTGACAAGCTGTTTTATATGTGATAGCACTCGTGTGTGGGTTTGGATAGAGTCTACAAACGTGCTAGCAGTTCTGTAAAGCTCAAGCAGCAAC